AACAACAACAACAAAAAACAAAAAAACAAAACAAAAAAAAAAACCCAAAGCATTTTGAAAAAGGGATTTGAATGTATTATTTTGACCTTAACTGGTAAGCGGAAACGCCAACAATCTTAGTCATCCAACTTGCTGAGTCAGGAYATTCCGCCTGATCCTATATAATTTTGTTCGATTCTCATTTGGGACAGTATTGCACAACTATCACTATGCAATGTTTTTTCTAGAACCGCTCAAAGGGAGGTCACACAAACAGGTTTATTCCTGTTTATAAGATATCCGTTATTTCCCAATTTGCGTCTTTTATAACATCATTATTCTCAACTATGACGCAATCTGACTCGCAATAAACCGATAGGTCTGCAAATTCTCTCCTCGAGTTATGAAAAATATTTAAGCATGTCCTGAGAGGTTTTGACAAGAATTTATATATACTAAGTCTGATTATGAGCATTGCATTATGGTAGAATCAAAGGCCGGACTGCCTGATCTGTACGTTTTAAAAACAGTTGTAAGTTTTGCATCCAATTTTCTTTAAAGCAGGCCAACCAATTCAAAATTTACTTCACTTGGTGAACTATGCATTTGATGAGTCAACATGTGAGTACATGTATCAACCATGATTTGAGGAACCGTGATGATGTGAGTGAAGCTCAATAGGTTACTTGGAGCATATCCTCGGGAATCCAGGGGTAAAATTTTGTTGCTCGTTTAATTTCTCGCTGCCATATTTAAATTAAACAGAAACTAGTTCAAATATAAACCCGGATCTTGAGGTGTGGGTTTGTTGAAAATTGGACAGGAGTCTAGGTAGCGCTACCATCGCATCGCAAGAACAATATTTGAACTTATCGCAAGCGCACAACAATCGAAAACCCTGCAAAGGTCTCTGTTCCATACTGTTAACATTTCAGATTTTTTCAAGTACTAGAACTCAAGTGTTATTGCCTGACGAAATAACTMAAATTGTCTCAAACAATATCGAATGCTTTTTCTGCTGTTACGTAGAGGAAATGGCGCATCCGGCCTTCTATTGAGTTATAGCCTGCTTCTGCTTTCAGGATACCGATTTTCTGTTTTCCATTCTACCYTATGCTATAACTACGTACTCGAGGATAATCTATGTTCGCTTGCGTTAATCTAAACAGGCCGGAAGGACCTTCAAGGGGGGCAAAATTTAGTTTGTTCTTGTTGTAGCAAGTATAAAGAAAATGTTACTGATCGAGCGCTGATCGAGGAACACAGAGAAAAAGAAACTGTCAACAATCTTCATGAAGTACACCATCGAAAAATTATACAGCTATTTCATGAAACGTCAACGCCAAAGCGTTKCAATAGAGGTATAAACTAGGCAAAAGCCTCATTGGGACTTTGATAACTGGTCCTAAATCTGCTAAATAGAGGTTGTTCGCAATGTAGGCGGCCGTTTAATAAAGGTTTTATTGTAACGGTCGAAATAAAGTTTGGGCCTATCCCAGACCGGTAAGGGTCAAGAATAAATWAAAAATTCCATTTAGAAAGCCCCAGAAAAAGCCTCAGTAGATCTACTTATCTCAGCTACTGCCCTCATAAGTGTTTCACCTGTAGCGGTTGGGTTTAAGAAATTCAAAGAAATAACTTTTTATGCACTTTTATTTATCTATTTTTTCTGTCAGGGAAAAAGGAAGTTCCTATTATGTCAACCCTGATTATTATTATTATTATTATTTTTTTTTTGCAATTCGAGGAAAATTCCAGATTAAATGCCCGGTATAGTTTTTAATTTTCCACGATTTCTCACGCAAGGAAAACGAAATTTAATGGGGTTGAAAGCTATGAGAAAAAAACTTAATTTCAATTCTTTTAGTAGGCATAAGTTTCATGTCACCCATCCAGGTACTAACTTCGCTCACCGGACTTGACTCAGTGTTATTGAAGCCCAAGTTTTTTCCACTGGACCACAGTTTCGGGCAAATCAGCATAACAATGGCCCTGAAAACAATGCACCGAATAGACTAGACTTTTTAACATCAAATTTTTAACCGATTCCGTGCGTTGCAGAGATGCAAGGGATTAGCCGATATGGTCTGGGGGCCGGCTGGTCTCTCCCCTGATGCTTCGGCTAGAACATTTTCTTGCGTAATTCGTACACCCAAGGGCAGAAGGATTTAATCGCCGTCAGGTCCGAAGTCCATACGACGCCCCAGCTCTGAGGATGTCTCGGGGGTATGGCAAAGTGGAATCGATTTTTTCTTTTTTCTTT